CGTTGCAAAAAGAAGGGCCGGCATTCCAGTACTTGAAATCAGTATTCCCAAATTTATCTGACGCAAAGATAAAGGAAGGTGTATTTGTTGGCCCACAGATCAAAAAACTGCTCAATGATTCCGCATTCAATACAGTTTTGACACCAGATGAGGAAGAAGCGTGGAAATCGTTCCAGCGTGTTGTCACAACCTTTTTAGGAAATTTCAGAAGCCCAGATTATGAGGAAGCCGTCGATGAATTGCTCAAAAATTATGAGAAAATAGGTATAAATCAAAAATATTGTGTTTGTTACATATAATTAATTTCAAATCCTTTTATTTCACTGAACACAGGTGTGAATATGTCTTTGAAGATACATTTCCTACATTCTCACATGGATTTTTTCCCGGAAAGTCTTGGTGACGGGAGTGATGAGCACGGCGAACGTTTTCACCAACGTCGTTACCAAGGGTTTTGGGATGAAGCAATGATGGGTGACTATTGTTGGTTTCTGATTCGAGAAACAAGTTCAAAACATCGAAGACAAAGTCATTCGATTCTCAATCATTTTTAATAAAACCTAAATAAATTTCTTTTGTATCAACTCGGTTTTAAATCCTGATATGCCTTAATCAAATTGATATGTAGAGAAAATAATCTCCCATGAAAACTTTACATGCGATTTGGATGCTTACAACGACACCTAGAAAAGGAACTCTAAAACTGTTGTATTTCAGCAACATTTTTAAGTGTTTCACAAAAATGCTCATAACTTCGACAATTTCCAACCGATTTCATCCTTTAAAGGCTCATTTTCTCCGGTTTTGAATGGACTTTAAGAATAAATTATGGAATGATTTTTTGAATCTTTTCATCCCATTAAAAATGTTGATTAAAACAAGATTTTTATGGAAAATTCGCAGGAAAAATAAAAAAAAAAATGCTGTAAATTTTTAAATGACTTCAAAATTAAATTTTTAATTAAGACATAATATTCTAGTAAACGATAGCAAATTTATTAAGCTTCATTTTCATAAAAAAAAGATTTAAAATTGGTGCACTAGTTCCAAAGATATTGACATTTTAGTAATCGTACTTTTGTCCAAAATACAAAAAATCAAATTTTTTGTATATCTCAAAAATGGCTCTACTTTAATTTTTTCTGACCACGGCATTGAATTCAGCGTAGGATTTTGCATTGGAAATGATCATCACCTTACCGAGTTCAAAAATGCTGTAAACTAGTGCTATGTATATCGTTCGCCTATATTTGGCATATATGTATGACAAGAAGCCATCGTTTGGCCATAAATCTAGTGTCAACATTTCTATCACATGAAAAGCCCAGTCAAAATGAAGGAAATCTATCAAATGTTTTATGCTCATCGTTGATTGATTGATTTATCTTTATTTAGGAGGCTGGTTCGCCTCCAATAGTGCTCATCGTTTTCGCTAATTCTGGAAACTGAAACAAGCTGAGATGAAAGCGTACAAAGTGAAGAAATCTTTGGAAATGCCTTTAATGTTTTCAGAGACGACAGAAAAATGTCATACGTCTCAGAAAAAGGCGGGCGGCGGAGTGCTTATACCTCTTTCGGCCAAAATTTAACACAGAAATCATCTGAATATCAAAATTTAAAGAATTTGAGCATGTTTGGGTTAAATCAAAGACCTCATATCAAGAAGACTGTCAACTTTGCCAGAATCCAAGCGACAGATACAAAAGCGCTGCGCTTGAGTGAAGCTGGAAGCAACGCATAGAAAAATGAACAAATGCACAAACCTTTCTTCCGAGGATGCAATCTTTGCTATCAAATTCGTTCGAAGCATTTACCTTTGAGCGGCAGATGACGCGATTGTACCTGTCTCATAGCGTTCGTATGAGAAAATTAAAGAGTTGCTAGTCTTCTTGATTTGTTGTCTTCGGTTAAATCACGCATAGCCGGTGAAACGCACGTATTCACCTCAGTGTTCGATTTCCGGTCCAGTCTAGGAACTTTCCGGGTTGGAAAATGTCTCGACTTCCCTGAGCATAGAGTATGATTGTACTTGCCACACAATTATACTCATGCAAAAATGGTACAGACATCGAAAGCTCTCAATTAATAACTGTGGAAGAGCATCTAGATCACTTAGTTGAAAGCATGCAATAAGCTAATATGCGATTAGCAATAAGCCTGAAATACGAGGAAGAAGAACAGCAAGAATGTATCATAATCAGCGATACGATAGGTTTGGGTAATATATTTCACTCTTCTGCGTCGATCAGATGATTTAAAACTGGTTCGACGATGTTTCTCCTAGGATGGGATTGAACTTTTGCCCGTCCAAGTTCTGAGTTTACTTTATTCGGCGAGAATTTAAAAGGCAAAAATTTATCGATCAGGTTTCTTCTTTGTTTCTGTACACCTGCAAGAAATTAACAGTTCAAAGCGACATCGAGCCAGAATTTTGTGGACGAGTTGAATTTACTTGAACGTATAGTTCCTCTTCCACCTCCCGACCCGCTAACGCTCTAATGAGATTGAAGGTGAACGTTTGCCATGATCACAAAAGTCATAGCTTTTAGGGTTGCCAAACTCATGGAATATTGACACTTTAAAATGCAAACCTTGATAGGCACGTTCGGCACAGCAACAGCTTTCAGCACAGCACAATCACTCGACACGAATTAAGGTGTGCAGAGTTGAGCACCCCTTGGATGACACTGGGCATTATTATGTGCCATTCACTTTAAAAGGTGCGTTTCATATTTCACAACATGTAGTTCCAAAGAACCTGAATGGAATGTGGCGCTTGCGAAGATCACTTGAAGATACGATATGACGTAATATTGATACTAATTGTATAAGAGATAACATAGAAAAATGTGTAAATTGTTGATCAACAAATTTAAAGTTGCCTTGGCATTCTTTAAATCGTGTTAAATTTAAATGTTCCCACATTTTACAACCGTTGAACCATTATGAATGGCCACCCCATTGTGGTTAGATCACAGCATTGCTAGTAATGTTTATATTTATAACTTTTCCAGTACCATGAAGTCAACAAAGTAAAAATTAAAGAAGAGTTGCAAAATGAAACACATGCGATACGACAATGGAGTGATGCTCGTGAAGAAAATACCGGGAGACACTGTTTATTTGCTGAACTGGTGTTACGGTTTTATGAGACACAACTAGGAACTGGACGTCAAATTGTCAAACATGGGAGACTAGTAGCGACTACTAGCAAAACAGAAATGGAAAACGAGTTCACAAATAGGTGCGAAAATTGGATAGAAGGGTGAAGAAACAGCGTAAGTTGGTGAGATCGTTTTAAATTTAAAATTTTTATTATTGCTCATGACACAAAACAATGCAGGGATTGGAAGCGACCATCAGGGCACCCGATAGAATCGATTTGGACGGGGAGAGTAGGAATTCCAACTCCCTGTTGATAATATTTCGTGGATAAAGGGTGGGCTCTTCTCCCCGCTCATTGGGGCATTTCCCGTCTTGTTGACCAATTGTGCGATCATGTTGCTGGAAGGAGATTCTTTATTGTCCCGTAAATGCGTATTTGGCCTTTCATACAGCGACATGTTGAGGACAATCAGAGGTTATAAGCTTGATCAAGTCAAATAGAAAAGAAAGTCCACTGCTATTGGACTTAGTTTCCGTGCTACAATGGGTGGTAGACCAAAATCATGCATGCATCAGGATTGATTAATTTGAACTCTGGAGGACGATCCAGTTCACTAAAATGGAGTGGCGAGGATTGCTTCGTACAGCACAGGACACCCCGGCCTTACGCTGACTGGTATGTATGTAAATAAATCAGCAAAAGTTACTCATGTCATGAAATTGGAAACATTTTACAGGAAGTTATTAGTAAACTTCGATTAAGTATAGTAATTAAAACTACTTTTAGAAAATAACATGTATGCAGTGATGGTTCGCTCTTTTATGACTTTTTCAATACTTTTAATTATATAATGCTAACGTAGAATCCAGTTGAATTTTCAGTTAGACCGTCGTATAATACATAGTTTAATGCTATTAATCACCCTATCAAAATGCAAAATTTTCGCACCGTAGAACCACATTCTGTGTTTTCACTGAAAGTGCACTGCGGTGCTTTGCGGTGCAGAGATTTTGAATTTTGATAGGGAGCTTAATAACACTAAACTATCTACTTTAAGATGGGTTAAATGAAAGATCAATTGGATTTAACGTAAGCATTCAATATTAAAAAAAAGAAATAAAAGTCCCAAAAGAGCGATCCCATCCCTGCATCTTTGTATGTTTGTTCAAAGGTTAAATTTTTGGGCTACCAAATTCCATTTTGATTTTTGTGTATATACGTTTGGAAGACTCTCAATAACATTCTAGGAAACGCTCAAAGCATGAGAACAGAATGGATGACCTTTTGATTGAATAGAATTAATTTTATTTGAACAGTGAATGAACAATCTACAAACTTTTAATTACAGAAGAATTGATGGCGAACTTTTTCACTACGCCACTTGACGTAATTTGACCTTTTTTAGATGAATAACAGCTTCAGGTTAAATAGAAAGATGAAACTCCACTTCAAAACCGTTACGCAATTGTAAGGACAATGATACAAAGATAAATTATCTCAAGTTCTTCTCAAATCGAGTTTTCCTCATAATGCAATCTCAAACTCGCAACTTGTTTGCCTACACCCAGCACGGTGCTACATTATCCTTCAATTCTTCATCACCAACCTCCTCATTTTCCCCCCAGCACTTTAGGAGGAAAGTAAATGTTTTCCTTTCCACTCTGTTGGGACTCGAAGCGCGTGGACACAGATATAGAAGCCATCCCTCGTTGGTTGCTTGTAAAATTAATTTAACCTCCAGCAATGAGCGAGAAGAAGGAACTGGAACAACAACGCACACAAGACACGGATCAAACATGGTGGAAAATTGCGTTTCGTGTCGTACCAACGAATAAAAGGACGGCTCTCCTAGTCCGACACTGATCGTCTACTGCTAAACAAATAAATTAATTACCGTAAGTAAAATTTATTTCCACGACAGTTGCTAAACTTCCGACGGTCTCCGCCCGTAATGGGTTCAGTTGTATGCTAGGTGCTGATACGATTACCACTCCTGTGGAACTTTTCCTTTTTTTTCGCCTTATCACTCACTACACTGCCTCAAAGGACGAATTTGCACGATAGTTCTTTAGCGAATGTTCATTTTCGCAGTTTTTCACCACGAATGACACCTCCGACGCTGACAATAAATTCACAAAAGTCCTCTGTAATCCTCGAAATCAGTCACAATCCCCGGAAAACAGCCACCCACTCGAACCTAACTAAGGGTGCAGCAAAATAGCTACATACTCCTACGCTGAGTGCACATTCACGAAAATCTGGGGACAGCACTCGGAAGTGGAAAACTAGACACTACCACTTTACCATCCACCAAACTAGAATAAAAGTTCAGCTCGATGTGACCCGAGTCACACAATCTGTCGTTCCCGAAAACAACTGCAACTGATTGTGAATGGAAAGTCGTGCGGATGGGCTTTTTATATGGCTGGTTCCCGGCGTAGTGCTGATGGGAAAATGTGCTCACGCTCATCCTCATTTTTCTCGCTCGGGAGCGAGAGGTTTTCCAAGGTGAGAGAAATTTCAATCGCAAGTCGAAATCTACACCCGATTTATATTTTGCACTCTTAATGGAATTCGTGAAATAAGTGAACTTCGTAAGAATATTAGAAATTGAAGCGAAATTTTGACCGAATTTGCTTTAAAAAATCTCATAGTGCAGAATTTATGAATGGCAATCGATAGGCTGGCGCCTGCGCTTAGGCATCCAGGATGACGATTTCTCACTTCTCTCCGCTCCACAGAATCACCTATTTAAGCGTGCTTCTAAGATCTCATCAGTTTTCCGCTTTCGTGAAGTATGCAAACAGCTCTAAATGAGGGAAAATCACTCTGTAGAAGTGAGAAGCTGAGAGGCTAAATTGATCTTATCTGTTGAATGTCTGACCAAACATTTAGGTTGTCAATTGAGTTTCCCATTCATTATTGTTTAAATTTCAATAATTTAAGAGATGCCTGTTCGCCATTTGACAAGCAGCTAATAGTTCAACACAAATGACCATCTCGAAACCATTGTTTTTTTTTAATTCTGCAAGTAACGAACATAAACAACGCAAATTTGAGCAACAGGTTTCCAGTTAGTGCCCAGCTGGGAGCTGAAGAATGATTTCACTTTTCTCTAGTAGGTCCCTAGTTAGGGGTTCCATTCTTGCGAATTCATTCTAGTTGATAGGAAGGACGTGACGGTGCGCATTCTGCGCATGTCAGGTGAGAGTCAGTTTTCGGTGACGGCTGGAATGTTATTCCCGGTAGGGTGCAATGTGGGTAAAAGAATGAGTCACACACATTGTCAGACTGAAGATTTGCGTTTTCATTTCTAATCTTTTGACACGTTGCTGGAGGTACTAAGAAAGTACAAAAATTTAGTCATTAATTCCTAAAACTGATTTTTACGTTCAATTAAAGGCTCAAACGCAATGTGGGCGGAAGCGGAACGGAAACGGAAAGTTTGACAGTTGTCACAAATGACATCAAGCTGCCTAACCGAAGTCGATTTAATTCTAACTTGTTTTCAATCCGACAAGTAGACTTTACTCTGATCGGGTTTTTCCGCTGCCGCTGCCGTTCCGCTTCCGCTGTCATTGCGCTTGGGCTTTAACTGCCATAAAAACCGAATTATCCCATGTTTGACAAGTACCCATTCGATTTTGGCCACACACAATAATTGCAAGCCTGATCTCCTGAAAATATTAAACAGTTTGCATTTAGCAGCACTTGTTTTTCTCGGTGTCGATCGTGCTATCGACTGTTGTTTACTCTGTATTCCTTTGGTGAGCTTTGTTTTTTTGCGTACAGCTCGGTCAGTGCTCTTTTCCGTCGCTATTGGAAGCCAAATTTTTGACAATAATGGTTGAAATAAAGCATACTTTGTGCTTTGCCTATCCAGATGGATGTGCAAAGCACACCATGGGCGAGATTGGCAACTTCGTGGAAACACTGGATGCCAATCCAGGTGACATGGATACAACATTCAGGATAGCGAAGGAGAAAGCTGTATTAATCAAGATTAAATCTGAAACAAGTATGCATGCAAGGCCTTCCTTAGCTCGGTGGGTAAATATGCAGCTACAAAGCAAGACCATGCTGGAGGAGGCTGGCTTCGATTTCCGAAAAATTCTCGACTTCTCTGGGCATAGAGTATGATTGTACTTGTTTGTATTGGTTCAAGCGTTAAGTTAACGATAAATAGTTGGAGATGCTTAACGTCAAACATCAGACTTAAAGTGGTCATTTTATACGATAGATGAGGAGATGAAAGTATAGAGTGCGAGCAAAGGTCAATTTTGAGGAAGGCACGAATCGGGTTGATTATCTCCTTTGCCAAACTCCCCCGTTGGCGAGAGGAATTTCCCCCGCCACCACTGACAAAAGAGATGATCGCCGATTGGCTCTTGTACCTTCGATGTGCGGAAACTTTTAAATCGATTGTTTCACACTCAAGTCGCTATACAACGGTAGAGGCAACAATAGCTGCAATTTCCAAACCTATCGACTAGAAGCTTACGTCAGATCTATCGTTTAAATTGACCACTTTAAGTCTGATATTTAACGTTAAGCATCTCCAACTACATAATGAAAATGTTAGAACCCCCCTAAAATATTAGAATTTTGAATACATCATGTTGAATAAAAAAAAATTGGTGAATCAAATTACTTAAAAAGTACGATCGTTACGATTTTAAACAACACATTTCATTACAACCAATTCTTATATGGGGTTGTCCCATTGTGCATTGGAAGCGTGTTGCCAAAGTCGAACGAACACTGTATGTATTAATGGCTGGTAAGCTTTAATGGTGGTAAGCTTCAACTGGGATTAACTTTTAGGCTTGTTCCCTATTGGCGAATTCTTACTTAAATTGGACAGATGGAATCTTTTGAAATAACTCTGCTGTTATTTCTGAGAGCCAAGAAATTAATTTTGACAGTCACGTAGTTGATAAATCGGTCGAATAACAACAGAGGGATTTTCGAAAAAAAATTATTTCGTTTCGCCAAATGAAACACAGCCTTAATACTGAAATGTGGTCAGAAACCCTTCGAATTTTATTTTTAATTGTCCTCAGAGTTCCATTGAAATCTTGTTCACAATTGCTTTTGAATTTATTCGCCTGAAGTTCTCCTCGCTAAACCCATTAAATTATTTTCAGAATTACACACCTTTAGCGGCGCCGGTGTAGTGGTAAGCGTGATTACCTCTCACCCCAGCAGGCCTGGGTTCAATCCCAGGCGGCGCCGCCGGGATTTTCTGAGGCATAACATTGAAACTAATGTTCTGCCCGACAACAACTCAGCAGCACGAGACTCCTTGAAGTGTGTCTCAGAGTCGGCGCACTACTGGGCAAACTGGAGGGGCTACGCGGACGAAAAGGCACTCAAGCTTTTAATTAAACTGAAACACAGCGCGGATCAACTTAAACACTGTATTTTCTCCAATTAACGATAGTGTTGATTGTGTGGTTTTGTGACTACGACGACTGCAGACCAGCGAGCGCTCGCTGCGGTTCCGGAATGATCCTTTCGATGGCGGATGATTAAAGGCCGACCTTGTCGGCAAGATGGCGGTACTACCAACAATCAATACGAAACTAACGATTTTAAATTGGCTCACTACTTGACCAGCCTATTGGTCCCAAGCAAAAGATTAACGTATCCCATTCTAGTCGAAATTCTAGTACTACGCAATGTTTGTTTTGATTAGCTATGAAAGTTTGACAGATAAAATGAGGGGTTATTGGTTTTTTCCTTTGTTTCGAGGGGTGAATCGATTAGCTTGGGACCGAAGAGAGTACCAGAGCTGAGTCAAAAAGTTGAGCACGTTATTTCGGGACCTTCTAGTCTTAGAGTTACCTCTATGGTACCACCGCTCACTGAACTTCCGGTACAATACCGACAATGGCGGATGAAGCGAGGCTTACCGAACGTCGGCTGTAGTGCGACGGCGGGTTGGTTTTACCGGGGCTGGTATAGCGGTTTGTGGAGATGGTTCCGGTGCACAGGCGCTTCCTTCTGACGAAGCCTTTTGTCGAACCGGGAAGGGAAATTCTCCTTTGCGTTTTAAGTCTTCAGTCCGAGAACGTTGTCCTATGCGTTTAGGTCAAGGTAACTAAATGTCACGCTAGACCGTTGCGTGCAATGGCTCTTCATTCGCTCGTGCAGTCTCTGTGCTAAATCCATACAAACATTTCCGACAGTTAATTTGTAAGCAGTTAAAAAACCAATCTTAAACTTGAACATCAACCAATTAGCCACTGGATCCAAATTTATACCCCAGAGATGTGTACCCCTAGCTCCACCCTAGGGTTGGTGTTTAGCGGTATAGCACAGCCAAACATACATAACCTATTGAATATTTCTCACTGTAAAACATCGTCGCTAAAACATAACCGCCATCTGTTGACTACACTGTGGTGGGTAGTACGCTGAACAGATGGCGGTAGTGTGAAAACGTCAAACGCAAGGGAATTGGCTATGTGCGCCACAGATGGCGGTACTACCAATAAATCATGGATTCTTCCACAGCACAATAAATCGTCACCATCATTTGTATATTTGATATTGAACATTAACCTCGGAAACTATTTGCATATCAAGCGAAAACTTAGTCCTGTATTGTCACGAAGCGTTATGGTTCTGAGATGCTCGATGACCCTGGAGGGATCGTTTTTGCCTATTGAGCAGAAAATCATAGGCTTAATCCCAAGCTCTCCGTCATAACTTGTAACATTAGAGCATGTCCCATTAAATTAAAACATACTTGTTATTGTAATTGTTTGTAAGATAGGAGCTAGATCTAGAAATTGTTAGAATATTTAAAATAAACTCGCCTATTTGAGCGCCATCCGCTACCAAAACTGCTCGAGTAGACGACTACCACCCCTTCTCAACGGTTGGCAAACGTGTGTGGAAGGAAGTTCAGTCCTCCAGTTGCATGCAACCTTCATAATGTTATAAACTCTTAAAATTCATGATCACTATACAAAATGAATATGTTCTTTCGATAGCCGGGTATCGAGAGATTAAATAAACAACAAATAAACAATACATACTTTTGGTTGCATCGCCAACTTGAGGTGAATTTTAACCAAATACCTTACCCAACTCTCCAACTCCGTAGCACTTATGAGGGTGTCGCTAAGTCGGTGGCCTCTCGTTAAGTAAGTACTACATCAACATTCAAAGTGTTTTTATGTTACTTCATACGCGAAGTTAACGATTTTCAGAGTTGGTTGGAAATGCTAACATGAAGCTTTAGTGTGAAGATTTATTAGCTAGAGAATGATCTTTAGAAGAGGGTAGGTGGATAGTTCCGTTAGATTACGGCAGTATGAAAATTGAATAGAAGTTGAAAATGAGCGAAGGGCCATTTATGCGAAAGTTTTTTTTTTAA